TGGGAGGAGAATCTGCTGGTCTGCCAAGAGCATAAGACTGCCACCATCTACGGGCTCTACCCTCTAGCTGAAAAGTAGCGAAATCAACCCCATGGGACTCCAATATCCTCATGTTGTACAGTCTATCCTTGCAACGATCAATGAAATCATGTGGATCCTCATGTCGCTCACCCCCGAAGACTGGAGGATGTAGTCTAGTCCATCTGTCCAATAGTTTCTGAGGATCGGCGGCTACAGCTGGCCTGGGCTCAGGTTTAGCTGCTGCCACTGGCTGGGCTCCACCCACGGGTAGTGCACCCTGGGTCTGATATACAGTAGCTACCTGTCCATGAGCCTGCGCGGTAGGGGTCTATGCTCCCCGCCTACCTGAGATGTGGCTGGGTCTGCCGGAAATAAACCGGCCTGAGTCATATTGTCCATGAATCGCAGTATACGACCCATGACATCCTGAAATCCAGGTGCAAATGTGAAGTCCACCGGAGCTGGCTCTGCCACAGGCACCTCACCCTGCTCCTCAATAATGGGATTCTCTGTTGGATCCACTGGTGGCATAACCGAAATAGTCCTGGGATGTCCTCTCCCTCTACCATGGGCTGGAGCTCTCCCTCTGCCTCGGCCTCGGCCTCTAGCAACTGGGAGAGTAGCTCTTCCCTGGTCTGGAACTTCATTTGAGCGCGTTCTCACCATCTGTGAGAAAATAAGAGAAGGATTTTTTAGTGCTACATTAATTGCACGATGGAATGTGAAGAAAGGTAATTTCCTAACACCCTATAGCCTCTTGAAGATAAGTACAGACGCCTCTGTACCGATCCGCAAGACTCTATTAGGTCTGCTCATAACTTGTGAGACCTACGTGAACCTAGTGCTCTGATACCATGTTGTCACGACCCAATTTCACCTATAGGTCGTGATGGCGCCCAACACTACAGCTAGGCAAGCCAACTAATAAATCAAACGTACATTGGTTCAACTTTTATTCCAAGAAAATAATAAAATACCAACTTCTACCAATGTGTGTGCCAAGACCCGGTGTCATAAGTGCATGAGCATCTAATAGATTATACAAAACTCTGAATACTGTCTGAAATAAAATAGACAGAATGTAAATATAAGAAGAGATACTGGTAGCTGCAGAACGGTTCAAAAAGGCAGCTCACCACTATGCCTCGGGATGACGTGGGTATGAGATGATAGGTCCTCCACTAGTACCTGTCTCAGATCCTGCACAAAAAGTGCAGCAAGTGTAGTATGAGTAAGCAAACAACGTATACCCAGTAAGTATCAAGCCTAATCTCGAAGTGGTAGAGACGAGATGGCCAACTNAAGGTAATTTTTCCTCACAAGATTAGACAAGAGACTTACCTCGTCTTGCTCCAATTTAATCCACTATAAGGCCTTTTTCACAATTATCCAACTCTGTCTCGCTCGAATCTAGCCAAAAATATTTCGATACAATCACTAAAAACTATAGGAATCAATTCTATAAGAAAATACTATATTTTTAATAAAAATCCTGAAATTAATTAAAAATTCATTCGTGGGGCCCACGTCTCGGAATTCGACTCGAATTATGAGTCCAACCATACCAGTTTCACTCAAATCCGACTCTGAATCGATACCGAAATCTCAAAAAAATTCATTTCTATGAGATTAATAAACATTTCCCAAATTTAAATCTCAAAACACTAATTTATGGTGAAAACAATGATATACTTGTATATGTAGACCAAATCCGAATTAGAATCACTTACCCCAATGTTTTCCCTTGAAAAACTGACAAAAGTCGCATCTGCTCAAGCTCAAGTTTGTCAAAAATGGCAAATGGGACGAATGTCCTCTTTTATAAACTGCCCAGGCAGCCTTCGAAAATTGGGCCTCGATCGTGGCCCTCGAACCTGGGCTTCGGTCATGGCCTCGAGAAGCCCTCGAGCCTGGGACTCGGTCATGGCCTCGATCAAGTTCAATCTTAGGTCTTGATCCTGGCCCTCGAGCCTTGCCTTCGATCATGGCCCTCGAGCTGGACCTTCGATCGTGGCTTCGATACTGAGCCTCGTCCCTGGCTTCGACTCAGGCCTCGATCGTGGGCTCGATTTCTGGGTTCGATCTGGGGCTCGGTATCTAGGTTCGATCTAGGGCTCGATCACAGCCCAGAATATACAGCAGAAGGGAAAATTGCAGCAGCGTTTTAAGTCCAACTTTTGATCCGCTAACCATCCGAAACTCACCCGAGGCTCTCGGGACCTCAACCAAATATACCAACAAGTCCTAAAACATCATACGAACTTAGTCGAACCTCTAAATCACATCAAACAATGCTAAAACCATGAATCATACCCCAATTCAAGCTTAATGAAACTAAGAGTTTTCAACTTCTACATTCGATGTCGGAACCTATAAAATCAACTACGATTGACCTCAAAATTTACACACAAGTCATAAATGATATAACGGAGCTATAAAATTTTCGGAACTGGATTCCGATTCAGGTATCAAAAAGTCAACTCATCGGTCAAACTTCCAAACTTAAATTCTTATTTTTAGCCATTTCAAGCCTAATTTAACTACGGACTTCCAAATAAGGTTCTGAACACGCTCCTAAGTCCAAAATCACCATACGGAGCTGTTGGAATCATCAAAATTCTATTCCAGGGTCGTTTTCTTAAAATGTTGACCGAAGTCAAACTTAGCACTTTAAGGCCAACTTAAGGAACCAAGTGTTCCGATTTCACCCCAAACACTTCCAAATCCCGAACCAACCATCCCCGCAAGTCATAAATCATTACATGCACATACGAAAAGTTTTATTTTACGGAAAGGGGTTCTAAAAGTTAAAATGACCGGTTGGGTCATTACATACATGGACAAAACGCACCCATTGAGTACACCAATGGTTGTTCGATCACTTGAAGTGAATAAGGATCTGTTCCAACCTCCAGAAGAGGATGATGAACTCCTTGGTTCCGAAATATCTTATATTAGTGCAATCGGTGCACTTATGTATCTTGCTAATGCTACAAGGCCTGACATAGCATTTTCTGTTAATTTACTAGCAGGATATAGCTCTTCTCCTACACGGAGACATTGGAACGGGATTAAGCATATATTGCGATATTTAAAAGGAACTCTTGATATGAGTTTATTTTATTCTAACAAAGGTCATGCAGATCTTGTTGGTTATGTAGATGCAGGTTATTTATCTGATCCACATAAAGCTCGATCTCAAACCGGGTACGTGTTTACATATGGAGGTACTGTCATATCATGGCGCTCCACAAAATAATCTATTGCTGCTACTTCTTCAAATCATGTCGAGATAATAGTTATTCATGAAGCAAGTAGGGAATGCATATGATTGAGATCAGTGATTCATTTTATTCAAGAAAAATATAATTTGGAATGTGATAAAAGATCCACAATTTTATACGAAGACAATGCTGCATGCATAGCCCAATTAAAGGGAGGATTTATATAAGGAGATAGAACGAAGCACATTTTACCAATATTATTCTACACACATGATCTTCAGAAAAATGATGACATTAATGTGCAACAAATCCGTTCAAGTGACAATCCGGCCGATTTATTCAATAAATCTTTGCCAACATCAACTTTTGAGAAGATGGTATACAAGATTGGAATGCGGAGACTCAAATATTTGAAATACGATTTTTATTAGGGGGAGTAAAATACATGCTATACGTTTTTTCCCTTACTAAGATTTTTCCCACAGGGTTTTCCTTATAAGGTTTTTAATGAGATAACTAGTTATGCGTATTACTAAATATATGTACTCTTTTTTCTTCACTAGGATTTTTTTCCCACGGGAGTTTTCCTAGTAAAATTTTAATGAGGCACATTATCTTTTAATGAACATCCAAGGGGGAGTGTTATAAACATATTATATTATGGATGTTCATTTAGTACTCCGTTGTAAATAAGCTTCCTGAAGAAGCTTATCCATATGGGACTCCGCCGTAAATATGTTTATCTATTTAGTACTCTATTAGAAATAAGCCTCTTGAAGAAGCTTATCCTTTCGGTACTCCGTTATGGATAAATATTACCCCCGGTAGAAGATTATCTATATCTGGTACAATGAGCTTATCCTTTCGGTACTCCGTTATGGATAAATATTACTCCCGGTAGAAGATTATCTATATCTGGTACAATAACAGCTTACACTGCTTGCAGTAGCAACTTACACAACAACTTCCTTTCTTCATGATCTGGAATTTCTGCGAGGAGCTCTGTTCGAGAGGAAGCACTACTTTCCATCCTTAGGCCGATGGCCAGTCTAAGAGGACCATCAAGACATTGGAGGCTGACAGCTAATTGCTGGCTCTGAATAACCAGCCCAGCAATAAGCTCAATTCTTCCATAACATAAGGGGGCGGGCTTGCGTGCGAGCCGAATGACGTAAGTGCACAAGAGTACTTCGTATTAGACTCGACCCTATTTTTCGTAGCATGCATTCCCATCCGTGTCGCAACTGATCGGTAAGCTACGTCTTTTCGGATGATCAGCCACACTGGGACTGAGACACGACCCGGACTTCCACAGGGGGAGGGGATAGCAGTGGTGAAGGAGGAAGACAAAAGGCAATATTCGAGCCCGGTGTGCTAGCCCGCTCTGAAGAATTCATGATTTATATATATATTTGGCCGGTGCTTCATGCCCTTCTTGAATTGCAATCATTGAGTTCAGATTCAGAGGAGATTTCAGTTCATTATGTACATTAGTTTGAAATTGAATAATATATCAGTTTCTCTCTATACTTGTCTTTACTTTACAGTCTTTATTTTATAACAATAATGATATTAATGGATGCATAATTTTGTGGGAGAGAGTTTTTTGTTTGTCTTATTATTATTAAAGTTGGAGAGTGATTTTCTAAAATATACTATCTAGACTTCTAAAGTCTAATAAATAGACGAGTGTCACTCATTCAAATAAGCACTTGAAGAAATGAAAAGAAGTCGTAATATAGAGAGGAGGACAAATACAAATTTAATTCCTGAAAACCCCATATCTCGGTCTTATCCGCCAAACCCATTAAAACCAACCTCAAATTTTATCTTCTCTCGTTTCCACTGAATCTGCCCTAGAGGCATCACCCCGAACTGGTTCTTTGGTACAAAATGTCAGGTTGTTGCTTCTCTTTTGCTGCTACAGCATCTACTTCTTCTACTTCTTTACTGTATCTCTTCACTCAAAAGCCTAAATTCTCAGTAGACCATCTTTCCTTAAGTACTTATAATACTCACTTCAACTTCAAGATAAACTCAACAAAACTCAAAGCCCATTTCCCCATTTCTTCTCTTTATCGCTCTTCAATCTTTTTGAGCACTTGTGCTTCTGTGTCTGATGGAGTTGAGGTTGTCCAAGAAGATGACGAAGAAGAAGTTGCATTGTCAGCCGAAGAAGAAGAGGAAATTGAAGAAAAAGAAGAACGCGTTGAATCAGAATCAGTTGAAGGTGGTAGATTGTACGTGGGTAATTTGCCCTTTTCAATGACCTCTTCTCAATTGTCTGAAATCTTTGCTGAAGCTGGCACAGTGGCTAATGTTGAGGTCTGTTTTGAGTTTTTGTTGCTTTGATTGGATTCTTTATACTTTTCTTCTTTGGCTCTTTTCTGTTCATGTACTGAAGTTCCAATTATTTTACTGATTAGGCAACACAATCCTATTACTATCAACTCTAACATTGATCATTGAGATTGGTAATTAAGACTAATTGTCAGTTGAGCAGGTGCCTCTAGTAAGATGCAAAATATCTATCATTGTTGAAAAATGATTTACCTTAAAGTACTATTATATAGGTCAGTTTTTGGGGTATGGTTGGACATAAAGATAGGTGGCATCAAAGTTGGATCCAAGATTTGAACTTTATGGATTCGCATTCGGGATTCTACCACAACTCATATGATTTACATGGTTCGAGATCAATTATTTGTACTAAAGTAAAATTTTCAACACATATACAAGATCCAAGCCACAGCTACTAGTTTCGAATGAACTCATACCTAGAACGCTAAGTGGCATATGGTAGTCATAGAAGTTGTAAATGTGGATTGCTCTTGTCTGATATTTATCAACTTTTTACTAATTATGTAACAAAATCTCATAGCATAGACATTCTGAATTGATTGTTGAGACGGGCAAGACTAATGCAGATGACGTAATTCAAATCCTTAAATCATTTATTATAACGTAGAGGTATTTTTTTATCTTGATGCCGGAGAAAACTGGTTTGCTATTGTGGATTATAACTGAAAGAAGACTTTTAGCATTGAGTAGATTAACGTAGCTGCAGTGAAACTGGGCTCATGATTTCCAAGTATCAAGCTTTTTTGTACTTTAGTTCAACTTTTGATGGATGTCATATTCGTTTTTAGAATATATGATACAGTGAAACTCATTGTTCTTTTTCTTCATGGATTTATAGATTGTTTATGACAGAGTTACAGATAGGAGTCGTGGATTTGCATTTGTTACAATGGGAAGTGTTGAAGAGGCAAAGGAAGCAATTCGCTTGTTTGATGGATCTGTAAGTTTACACTTTGCTCATCATTTTATTGCAAGGACTCTTTTATGCATTGCTAAGCTGTCAAAAAGAACTTATTTGTCTGGGATACCAAAATATAGTAATACCCTTGTTAAATTTTGATAGTCAATCATTGGGAATATAATTAAGATGATGTGTTATTCGCCTATCTTGAGCTGATGACTTTCTAAAAGGGTAGCCCGGCGCCCAAAACATCCTGCATTCACGCAGGGTTCGGGGAAGGGCCACAAGCCAAGGGGTGTAATGTAGACAGTCTACCCTAATGCAAGCATTAGTCACACGGAGACAACTTAACCGTTGCTCCAAGGCCCCCCTTGGACTTTGTCTCGATAAGAAAACGTGTTTTGTCTCCTATGTCATTCATTGCTCGTCTGAGTAATGGATGTTTTTACCTATGCATCTATTAAGAAATGTAGTTAATTATTTTCCTACTACTTTAATTTATGGTAAAGGTATATCAGTGTTCTAAATATGTAACAACTGCAAGATAGATTTCTTCTCTGTGTAATATGTAGCTTGGGTCCTCTTTATTTCTTGGTTTTAACTTGTATAAGGTATTCTTTTATTTTTTCCTCTTTCTAGGGAGAAAAGAGGAATAAACTATTCATCAGTCAAGTTTGACAAAGCTAGTAATCGGGCTGTGTTAGACATTTTTACTACAATTTTACAGAATGCTCTCTAGAGCTTACAAAACGCTCTGAAATATGGCATAGAGAGCGCCTGATGGTCACAGCTCGAAAGTCATCCAAAATAGATTATAGCCATTACTTGTCATTTGGCCGTATCAGAGGGTTATTGCACTCGTTGATGCACGAATTCCCACAATCTCCTTGGTGCCTAGAGAAAAGCTTAAATTGAGGACACAACTGTTCACATGATATGGGAAACAAACAGGAATCCTATAAATGCTTTGCAAAGACCAAAAGTTCAATGTTTACCTGCTAGATGGTTATCAAATGAGAAAGATGTGACATGGTCTCAACTTAATAAAGTCAGTATATCAATAATCAATATGGAAGCAATTACAAAAGTTTGAAGTAATCTGTATTTGTCCTTTTTGACCAGTTTGTTTGTCGTATTGATTTAGTCGGACGACTGTCAAATGTACTCTTTTCTTACATTGCCCCTCTTTTCTCTTTCCTTGCTATTTGTGGTGAAATGCTTAACAGCAAGTTGGAGGTCGTACGGTCAAGGTGAATTTCCCTGAGGTTCCAAGAGGAGGTGAAAGGGAAGTAATGAGTGCAAAGATAAGAAGCACCTATCAAGGTTTTGTTGATAGCCCTCACAAATTATACGTTGCGAATCTTAGCTGGGCCCTCACTTCTCAAGGTCTAAGAGACGCTTTTGCTGACCAGCCCGGATTCATGAGTGCAAAAGTCATCTATGACAGGTCCTCAGGAAGATCTCGAGGTTTTGGGTTCATTACATTTTCTTCTGCTGAAGCAATGAACTCTGCACTTGATACCATGAATGAAGTGGTAAGGATAAATAGTGATGAAGTATCTTGGAGGCCTTTTGGCATATCCTTGTTTCTCACAGTTTCTTATATTGCAATTAGGAACTTGAAGGACGGCCATTGCGACTAAATGTGGCTGGGCAGAAAGCTCCCGTATCTTCTCCACCAGTTGTCGAAACAAGTCCTGAAAATGATTCTGACAACAGTGAATTACTTTCTAGTCTCAGCTCATAAGATCACCAAGATTCATAACAGAATCAGCCATTTGAAGAACTGTAGAGTATTATATGCGATGAAGACATGCTTTTTCCAGCTTATGTAACCTTCTTTCAGCCTCTGCTTCTGAAGTGGTAAGCTGTGTTGCTACATTGCGTGTACATTTTCATAATGCACAGGTAACAAATGTATTTTGATTGTAATATAACTCATCGCTAGAATCAATATACTCTTTGTAACGACTCGATAGGTCATTTTGAGTACTAGCCCTTATTTCCGTACTCCGAGACCTCTCATAGCTTCATTAGATGTTATATGACTTGCGTGTGTGGTCCGTGTTGTTTTCCGGAAAGCTTTTACGTGAAATTTTAAAGAAAATGTGAATTTTGGCTTTAAAAATAACTTGAGTTGACCACGGTCAACGTTCTTGGTAAACGACCTCAGATTGGTGTTTTGACGATTCCGGTAGGTTTGTATGATATTTTTGGACTTGTACACGTTTGGTTGGGGTCCGGGGTGACCCGAGCGCATTTCGGCGCATTATGTGGAAGATTGTGAAAAATGAGTTTTCAAGTTGGAATCTTGAGTTTTGATTATCGATTCATGTTATTTGATGTTATTTTGATGATTTGAGGTAGCGTGCAAGTTTATATGATGTTATTACACTTGTGTGCATGTTTGGTTTGGAGCCCGAGGGGCTCGAGTGAGTTTCAGATTGGTTTCAGACCATTTTAGGACTTGTTGAACTGATGATTCGCGAAGCCACTCTCGCGATCGCGAAGGGGAAAAGTTGGGGCAGGGCTAGGGCTAGGGCTGGTTACTCTTCGCGAACGCGAGAGGTGGGATGCGAACGCAAAGCCTTGGGGGGATTACCCTTCGAGAACGCGATGCTTTGGGAGATCTGGGGGCCCAACACCTCGCGAATGCGGAGGCTTGGCAGGGGATGCCTTCGCGAACGCGATTTGGACCTCGCGAACACGAAGGCCTATGGGTCAGTGCTCTTCGTGAACACGTCAGGTGCTTCGAGAACACGAAGAATATCTGACGCGCAACTATTTAAAAGCTGAAAGTCGGGATTTATTCATTCAACACCATTTTTGAAAGCTCTGCTCGGACTAGAGAGGATTTTGAGGAGATTTTCATCCCAACTTCATTGGTTAGTAAATTTTAACTAGTTTTGATGTATTTTCATAATCATCCATTGATTTTTAACCTTAATCTATGAATTTCATGGTAGAAATTAGGGGTTTTGAGTAAAAATTAGGGGTTTTGTAAAATCGAGATTTAGACCTCAAATTGAGATCGGAGTTTGAAACAAATCACATAATCGGGCTCGGGGTGAATGGATAATCGGGTTTTGGTCCGAATCTCGAGTTTTGACCAAGCAAGCCCGGGGTTGACTTTTGTTGACTTTTTCAATTTCATTAAAGATTGAATCTTTTTCACTCGTGGGTAGTTTCTAAAGCTTATTTTGAATTATTTGAACTATATTTGGCTCGATTTGATTGGGTTGGAGGCTAATTTTAAAGGAAAAGTTGTTGATCATTGATTTGATTGTGGGAAGAGGTAAGTATTGTGGTTAACCTTGACTTGAAGGAATTAGGACTTGATTGGTTTATTTGCTACATGATTTATGTGTGGGGACAGCGCATATGCAAGGTGACGAGTGTATATACGTAGTCATGGGTTAAGCATGCGGGTTGGGGTATTTATTTGTTGTCTTCAATTATTTCACGCCTTCATGTAATTCATGTTAATACATGTAAAATGCTTTAGTTGTTACTTGCTCTTACTTGTTAAATTTATGCCTTTATTCATTACATGCTTTAATTTGCTAACTGTTTCCATGTATTCGTGCCTTTATTTATTGACTGACTTTATTTGTTCATGCATTTATCTGTGCCTTTATTTATTGATTGCCTTTACTTGCTTTATGACCTTGCGAGTTATTAGATAGCTATTTTTATCCACTTTATGTCTTTTATTATGTAATTCTCTTATTGCGTTTTATTTAAGATACGCCTTAGTTGGTTGTAGTTGTACATTTATATTATTATTGTGTAGGGTCGGGTTGCATGATGCAACGGTTATTAGTACTATTGTGTGGGATCGGGTTGCACTCCGCAACAAATATTGGTATTACAGTTTGGGATCCGGTTGCAGGCCGCAATATATATNGCGCCGCAACGGAGAAGATATATTGACTGTTCATAACTGTTGATTACGGTATCCGTGTTGAATTGAAAAGTTAAGCATAGGTGTTATTCTGGGACTCCAATTTTATGTTAAATTCTTGTTTATATTCATTTAGGTTTATAGTAAGTGCCTTTTTATAGCCTCGTTACTACTTCGTCAATATTAGACTCGGTACTTACGGAGTACATGGGATCGTTTGTACTCATATTACACTTTTGCATTTCTTGTGCAGATACTGGTGTTGGTCCCAACAACAATTAGTGGAGGCTCGCTCGGATTAACTTTTCACGGAGACTTGAGGTAGAGCTGCACGACGATCGCAGTCTCTAAAGTCCCTTGCCTTAGTTTTACTGTTTATTTTGTTTCAAATAGTTATATTCCATTCAAACATTGGTTGTAGCACTTTTACTATGCTCGTGAACTTGTGACACCCGATTCTGGGATTTGATTAGTCAGTGTTTGAAGTTATTATATCTATTTTGAGTTTCTACAACTTTATTTCTTATTAAATTGCTTTCAAATTGGTTTTAAAATGATTAGTTGTGTACTAATGTTGGCTTGCCTAGCAAGTAGACGTTAGGCGCCATCACGGCCCCGTGGTTGGAATTTCGGGTCGTGACACTCTTGCAAAATGCTCAATGCTCATATGTTCAGCTACTTATTATTCCCTTTATCATGCTCATTCTATATTTTAAATTTTTATTTCTGATTGTCGCAGTAAATTTTAATTGTAAATCATAATTTTTCTCAAATATTTATGCTCAATTACATATAAGGTTTCTTGCTTCCTTATTATATGATGAACAAATTATTTTTCTGGTCATTCTAATTAATATTTATCTGTTGGAAAAACAATTTCTAATGTTTTTTCGGTGGTTCTCCTAACACTTCTAAATAAGTGTTAAATTTTTTAGGAAATGGTCATTGTAAGTTACAAGTAAAATATCCTTGAATTTACTCCCTGTAAGCATTAGTTTATTCTAAAACATTCCAGTATTTAGTTGGTTTGTCTTATTTAATAAGTTCAGTTTGGTAAAAGAGAAACAGTATCCGTGATTCCATGAACTTGATTTAAAATTTTAAAATACCTGCACATTCCAGTTTTGAAAACGGTGGCTTTCTCAGCAGGATGACCATGTTACAGGCTCTTAAACATATTTCGTATCAAGTCTACGTGGAATATATGAATTAATCAGATACATAACTTTTGCTAGTATTGACTCATTCCTGCAAAACTTTATATTAAATGTGTTAAAACATGAGAAATAAAAAGGGGTAAGTAACCGAATTTCTTTTTGTTTGATTCCAATTAGAAGAATGACATTTTCGATAACGAATTTCATTGTACGATAATTTACTTTTATCAACCCAAAAAGTGGGGACGAGGGTTTTCCTCTTCAGTCTAACTAATATAAATGTGGTTTTAGGTTAAATATGTAGCCATTTTTTATGCTTTCTGACCCTAAGGTTCGTCTTGATGATATGAATCTTATATATTATTTACAGAACTCCTTTTTTTGTTTTTTAATTTTCCAAATATATGCGAGCTTGACAAAAAGAACTAACAACAAGTAAACTAGTTATGCAAAGCAAAATTTGAACAAGAACTAAGGGAGAAAAAGGTGTGATCCATATTTGAAGAAGGCCAATGAGACCTGTACTGAAATTACTTTTTGAGGTATTTTCTTTCACATCAGAAGGGAATATAATACTATTGATAGAGTTTGAAATCTTCACCTCAACGGTACCATTTGAGCTAGCACTCAGCCCTAAAGTTGAAGTCCTCAAACCCGATAAAAATATACTTTACATTTTTATTCAAGTGATATGCGAGTAGTTTTACCGAGTGTTTATTTTCTATTTCAACCACTGTTACTGTTCTTAATTCATCAGGAGCCATATAAAAATCTGAATAAATTTTGCATTGAGATGTAATAGTTGTTTACCAAAATAAATATGTTCACAAAATTGAAAAGTTATGTTCACAAAATAAATATGTTCACAAATTTTGCATTGAGATGTAATAGTCGTTTGTAGAAGTTCCTCAATCTAAATTCTAAAGCAATCGAGTCGACTATCAATAATATTGATTAGACGTTGACGGACCAATCTCATTTATACTTAAGGTACTATTCGCCTAAACGTTATATTCCTAACATTTTTTAATTAGTTTGTATCTAGCACTCATTGATTCAACTAATTTAAATTTGAGTCATGTAGAATCTATTAAAGGACAACCGCTTCCTATTAGAATTATTTTTTTTAAAGCCGATTAAGTATAAAAGATCTTATCCATTATATCACATCCTTTATTGGAGATATCATATTTGAAAGTACAATTAGAGGATTGAAATGTCTTGAGACTCCATCTGAAGCAGGTGATTCGAGGGTCCTTTTTTTCTTTTTTGTAGAGCCGCCTTGTGGTGGCGGGTAGCAGGTGTTAGAGTTTGACCCAAATATTTATTGTTTATGACTCGAAACCATTCTGTATATATACTAACATCCATTTGCTGGTAACTAAGATAGATTACTAAAGAAATTGTTTTGGTGAGCAATTCCTTCCATTCAAATTTTCTACGTCTGATTTGACATTTGATGACCGATTATTACCTTGATTCAACTAACTCTGATCGGAAGCATCCATTTTATATATCATTCAAATATCATTTTGCATATTGTCTTATATTAGATCTCATACGTTTTCTTAATGATTACTCTCATGGGTCGTTTGGTATTATAGATAAGCAAAAATAATTTAGGGATAAAAAATTTGTACTGTCTTATTCCTTGTTTGGTTATTAATTCTGGGATAAGTTGTCCGAAGATTAAAAATAGTATCGGAATAACTTATACCTCCAGATGGTAGAATAGTAATCTCAGGATAAACCAGTAATATTGACAATCCCAAGATTAATATAGCAATACCAAACAATCAATAAGAACTAATTTCAATATAACTATTCTCTGCATAACTAATGCCCGCATAACTTGTCTTCAAACCAAAGGAACCCTTACCCTCTACTCTATCCATAGAATAAGAAACACCTTGTTCCTCTCTCTCCCAGACACTCCGTAGTTTTCCATTAAATGCGGAATTTAACCATCTTCTTTAGCACTGGACCAACCGTTGAGAGGATATGATTCCTCCCATGGAGTCAATCTTAGAACCGATTGATTAGATTGACCGAGGAATAGATCACGACGGTGGAAGTAGAGATTTAGTCAAATCAAATCCTAGACTTATACGTTAACAAATATCTTAGGTGGCGTTTTTCCAAGTTTTGAAACTAATGCAACTATAATCGTAAATTTCCATTAGCGTTTAAGTAAGCAAGAATTAAATTTACGCCACACAATAATTTATAAATCTTGTAACTGTTAAGAAACTAAGCTCAAAATAACAATATAAAACATAAAAATAGACAAGAGATGTAGAGGGGAAAGAGAGAACTTTCATATTTCATCAAGTGTTTCCCAAGTCTTTTCAAGTGTCTACAATGTGATGCCCAAACCCTTTATTTATAGGATGATATTGAGGTAATACAAAGGGATGTCATAAACATGGTATTAACTATTGAGATCATGAGAAAATATCATGGAAGAGGTTATGGAGATGTGGGAGTTACAACCATAATGGTAAGAAGTAGCGGGAGTAACTTCTTTAGGAGTTATAGACATTCACTAATATAATTATAATATTTCATAACACTCCCCCTTGGATGTCTATAGATAATGTGCATCGTTAAAACCTTACTAAGAAAAACCTTATAGGAAAAAATCTTAGTGAAGGAAAAGGAGTACACATATCTTGTAATACACATTGTTTGTTGCCTCGTTAAAAACCTTGCTAGAAAAACCCAGTGGGATAAAACCCCATCTAAGGAAAAAAGAGTGCAGCACGTATCTTACTCCCTCTGATGAAAACATCACTTTACTTTTCGGAAATGACACATTCCAATCCCGTATACCAGCTTCTCAAATGTTGAGGTTGGTAATGATTTATTGAACAAATCCACCAAATTATCAATCAAATAAATTTGTTGAACATCTATATCACTAATCTGTCAAAAATCATGTCTGAAAAGAACTTCGGTGGAATGTACTTTATTTTATCGCCTTCAATATACCCTTCTTCCAATTGAGATAAGCAAGCAACACTGTCTTCAATATTATTGAAGTCTTCTTTTTCAAAGAAAAATCACACATTTGTTGTGTGTTGAGTCACTTGCTTTATAAGTTGCTAATATCTTGGCATAACTTGAATCAATAATTGACAACCTTTGTAGAATATCATAATGTGACAATACCCTCACATGCAAATAGATTGCTTAAAGAACGAACTTTAACCCTACATTTGCATAATCAACAAAATTGGCAATATTTGTTAGAATAAACAAATCTATATCAAGGATTCTAATATAATACTAATCGTATTCCAATATCTCCACATAGGAATAAAACTATATCTCGCTATAATACTCATAGTTCTAGCAAGATACATTAGTGCATCAATTGCACTAGACACAAAAACAAATCATGCATGTCATGATTGCTAATCCACATAAGAATTTGCTGAAGCTTTATTTAATAAATTTCTTTGGAGCCTTAATATGCTTCAGAACAATTTAAATCCTTCAAGGATTTTCATTATACGCATATCAAATGTACTATCGGATAATAACCTGAAATGACTGCATCCACCACAGGAGAACATGTCTCCATATAATCAATACTGGGATATTTACAAATCTTCTTGTGCCACATGTCGTCTTTATGTCTATCGACTTGATTTTTTTATTTAACTTTTCGCACAAGAACACATTTATACCTCCACTGGCTTTATATGTTGGGACTATCCGTCAAACTTCATATTTTTCAGGTGAAGCTAATTTTTATTGTATATTTTTTATTTAGCCAATCATTTATCTGTCCAAATTCCATGACAGATTTTTGAGCTCAAGATCCTCGTCAATATTAATAATATTGAGCACTATATTATATTAACAATATCATCGACGATCATTTTATATCGATTTCTTCATCACACGATAAAGACATAACTTATCGAGATCTCATTATTTTCAGGTATCTGAGTCTCTCCCTTGAGGTCTTATAAGTGGTTATGTCGCGGTACTCTTATAGAGCACTTACCTTTTTATTTTGACCATCTTGATCATTTTCTCCTCTCCTTCTTCAAGGAGTTTTAACTTTGGAACCGCTTGGTCTGTTATACTTTATGCGTGCCATAGACTCTTTCCATCATAGACTTTATTCTATTTGGAGCATTAGCAGCTGAAATATGTCATTTAGCTTTGGGTCAGCAAATGCATCTAGCAGTATTTTGCAAATGAATTATCATTTAAACTTCAAGTTCACATTTTCTTGTACGAGGATCAAGATGTACTCATAAGTAATTCATTCCATGTATTGCTTTTTCAGTTGCCCATTTTTTCCTCCTAATATTGGGATCACCAACA